GGGTCCAGCACACATCCACACACAACTACTGAGGGATACACGAGCCCTAGTGAAGAACATATGCAGTGGAAATAATAAACGAACTTACCTCAGAAACTCAAAAACAGGGTGGAAAGTCCCTCAAACATGGGTGTTCTTGGGGATTTCCCCAATCCCGCCCCCTTGCCGGCCGTCATTGGACGCGTCGGCAATCGTGCTCGTTTTGGGACCACAGGGAAAATTGATTGAAAAATGGAGCGCGTTTACAGCGGGCACGTTCAGACAACTCGTCCAACGTGCGTCTTTATCCATTGCTGAGCGGCAGAGGGAGAGTACCTGTCTAAGACCCTCCCCGACGTTTTTTTCCAGTTTTTCATACATTAATCGTCTGGTTTTCATCTACAACTTCATTATTGGTGGTTTTTTCCCGCGAAACCGTTCCTGAACTGTTGCTTTAAGGAAAATTACAAGGTCGTCTTGGCTTTTTCTACAAGGGAGGTCGTTCAGGGTGTGCCAAGCTTTTTCAAAATGGTTTCTTGCATGACATAGGGGCACATGCGGGAACCACAGAACCATGGTTAATTTTTCCTGAACGGCCCTCAAAAGACCTTTCCTGATTTTTGAGTTCCTTGCATGCACACGTACAATGCGAGACATACAGTTTGCAAGAAGCCATGAAAATTGATGTCCATGAAACTGGTCCCATTGTAAACCCTGCAAATGATGTTTGTTAACCTACTGGCGACCGCGCGCGTTTTCCGAAAACCGTTAGTTCCGACCAGCGCGATTCAAGGGGACTGCGAAATGTCAGTCACCGGTGGCTGACATTATTCCTAGTGATCCTTTTTTGAAACGAGATGATGTTGAAAAAATGAACGATTTTCGCTGAAAATTCTCCTAAGGGGATTATTGGTTGCCACGATCACGTATTTGTCATTCATTTTTGGCGTGGCTGTCAAATCAGCGCTTAATCGTGCCGACATAGCGCAACACTTGTTTCCATCAGATCCAGTGAAACCTGCATACAGAGGTTTTTCAGAAATCTAATCATGAGCATGACACTAGTTTCTGGTCCAAGCGCCTAATTGGTGTCAGTTGGTTTTCTCTACATTTTCTTTAAAGCAACAGTTCAGGAACGGTTTCGCGGGAAAAAACCACCAATAATGAAGTTGTAGATGAAAACCAGACGATTAATGTATGAAAAACTGGAAAAAAACGTCGGGGAGGGTCTTAGACAGGTACTCTCCCTCTGCCGCTCAGCAATGGATAAAGACGCACGTTGGACGAGTTGTCTGAACGTGCCCGCTGTAAACGCGCTCCATTTTTCAATCAATTTTCCCTGTGGTCCCAAAACGAGCACGATTGCCGACGCGTCCAATGACGGCCGGCAAGGGGGCGGGATTGGGGAAATCCCCAAGAACACCCATGTTTGAGGGACTTTCCACCCTGTTTTTGAGTTTCTGAGGTAAGTTCGTCTATTATTTCCTTTGCATATGTTCTTCA